AGCGGGGGGGGGGGTGTTGCTGAGTAGAGAAGGAAGCCTCCAACCTCTCAGCCACACTGGCCAAGAATTGGCTTCTTCAGCTCAAAGTGGGTTTGTGTGGGGATTAAATGAGATAATGTCTACAAAGAACCCAGCATCTAGCACAAGGTAGTTGTAGCCACTCCTTATGTATTTCATCTGCTACCGGCTACTAGCTGCTTTTTAGAAGAAAGGTATGCGGTATTTCCAGCAGACGAAAAACAGATAAAATCAAGTCACCAGTCAGCTTAACAAATCCTAGCTTCAGTTGGAGTCCTGTGTGTACTCTCTCCCATTCCCTGCTCCTTCCCGCCCCTCCCTCCCAGGCCACAGGGAACCACAGTCCTGAATTTGGTTTTATCATTTCCGGGAATGTTTTAATATTTTACTACCTATCTTCAATAAAGAAAAAAAAAGATCCAGAAGCATTTTTCCTGTGGTGGATACATAAACATCTTGCGTATATAAGGGCAAATTTCTGAATACCAATAAAAAGAGATGCCTCTCTTTTCCTTTTAATCTGAGAATAGCAATTCCAGAAAGAAATGGTAGTGTTCAGAGAAGTTTCTATTGTAACTCTGTGTGCTGAAATGTTACTGACTGCATTTACCCACATTAGGAATTTAATTTTATAATAACAGTACAGATTCCTTCAAACATTATGATTTAAAGTTAATTTAGAGGTTCTCAACTTGGGGGGATTATCATATCCTATTTGCTTCATTTTAGTTTGTGGTGTTTTTTGAGAATCTTAAAATATCCCTTGAAATGATGGAAGACTCATTGGAGTCCCATAGAACTGAATTTTTAATCTTACCTTTAATTTGCATGTAAGGAGTAAAAATTAAATTGAAATGCTTGGGGGTTTCCCCAGATGTGCTTCTAATATAATCTCAGCTCTGTTATATGCGTTTTGTGGTGATTTATGCTGACTAGTAGAGGCAAGGTAGAGTTGAATGAAATTTACAGAAATTTCCATCTAAAATCCTGTTTTATTGTCTTTTTAAAAAAAATATTTATTTATTTACTTTAGAGAGAGAGAGTGAGTGGGGGTAGGGGCAGAGGGAGAGGGAGAGAGAAACTTTAGCCGACTCACTGCTGAGCGTGTAGCCCCATCTGGGGCTCCATCTCATGACCCTGAGATCATGACCTGAGCTGAGACCGAGTCGGCCGCTTAACCGACTGAGCCACCCAGGCGCCCCTAAAATCCCATTTTAGATGAAGGTGTCAGCTGAAACAAGGACATCGGTGGATTTCTGTTCTTTCCCTGCTGAATCTGTGAATGATTAGACACTGGAAAATCCCTCCAGCCTGAGCAGGCCAGTCAGTTGAAGTTCTTCCCTTCAGCCTGCAGATGGCAGTATCATACCAGCAACGCGCCTGACATTTGGCAAAGCTCTACAGCTTTAAAATTCATGGCCTGTTGGCACCTTGTTAAAAATGCAGTAATGTATTAGCTGAATATGGGTATAGAAGCAGACCCCAACTTTGATGTGTCCCCATATTTACATATATTTGAATGGCTGCCCCAGTCTTTTGTTATCCCCTGGTTGAGGTCTTTTGGGGTTTCCCCTCTCTCCCCCCTTCAGGCTTCTTACTGTAGCTCTTGTTTCTTCCTGGGAATAAGCTCTCTCTTACAAAAATACCCACCTCTCTCCCGTGCTTTGGTGTGGCTCCCATCCTTTTCACGAGGGAAAGGGACCCGGATTGAAAGAGAGAGCAAGGAGAGGGGAGGGTGAGTGCTAAGACAGGTCTGAACTGTACTTCTGTCTCCATTGCAGTGACAGACACCACTGTGTCGCCACTGTGCCCTTTTCCTCTTTTAGTTGTCACTCTGTTTACCCTGTTGTCAGCAATGAAGACTTTGAGACTAGATTAATGAGAAAGGGCTAATAGGGATCCACCCACCTCAGTTGCATGGCATCCCTGGGATTTTCCACTGGCCAGAGGCCTGGGGCCTTCAGCTCCTCAGGCCTCACTTGCCCCTTTCCAGTGATTTCCATGAGAGGGGTGTGGGCAGGAGGGTGTGTGTGTGTCGGGGGGGGGGGGATATCTGATCCTTTTCCAGATGTTCTAGGTAGACTTCTCATCATTCAAAGTAGAAATCTATGCAAAGATTCCACAGAAACACTCTTATATGATATGGTTAAGCTCTGTAGAGGTATTAGAAGGGAAGATAGTTTTCTGGAGCGTTCCAGCCCAAGCCAGAGCATCCTAGAGCCCCATGCACCCTGCATTCTGTGAGATAAACGTATGTTGAGTCTAAGGCAGCATTTATACATTGAGAACTGCTTCTCTTGTATCACATCACGTGTACAGAACATGTGAAGCTTGAAAAACAAGCCTTAACCCATTGACATTTCCAACAGGCTGTATAAAATTAAAAACCGCACTTTAAAGACAGCTTGTTCTTTGGTACAACAATATAAATTTGAGTCTTACATTTTTGTATAATGACATTAATTTGTGGATTAAGTTTATTTGGCTCAGTAAAACGTGTCTTGCGGGATCTAGTTATTGTAATGGGCAGCAGCTTAAGGTAGTTTTATTCTTTTGTTGCACAGTAAAATGTTCATTTCCTCCCAACAGCCAATGAACTCGTGTTAAATTGAAAACTAAAAAAAACAAAACCTCTTTTATAATATTTAGCAAGCCTAAGAGAATGCTGCATGGAAAGTAATAACAAAGTACGCGTTAGTATTTGCTTTTAATTGTCGCAAGCCTTGTATCAATTAGAGTAGAACACTGAGGACAGGGGCACTTATTTAGTCATGGAAAGAAAAAATAAGACTTGTTTACCAAATTGAAAAGAAATTAGGAAAGTGATTTTCTCTAAATTACATTTCTACTCAAATGCACTCTCCAAATTCAAGTTATTTTCCTAATTATATTTTATATGCAATGAATTTTTAAACCTCTTTGTGCACTTTATGCTCTTGGTTGGAAATTTAACATCAATTGAGTTTCCATTAAGCTGGAAATCACAGCTTAATGGTAGTTTCTAAAGATGTGATTTTAGCAAGGTATTTGCCTTGGCACAGTAATAATAGTAATACAAATACATTTACAAACTACTTTAAAGTTTACAAAATCCTTTTCTATACAGAGGCGTGTGGTGTCATGGAAAGACTTGAGGGTTTGACTTCAGACCTGGGCACGAACCCCAACTTAGCCATTTACTTCCGATTACTCACTCTTCCTGAGACTCAGGTTTCTCATCTGTAAAATGAGGATAACACCTGGGTTGAAGGGCCGTTGCGCATATTAAGTAGGATTAAACACACTCCCGAAGACCTTAACATGAAAGAGTCACCTTCCAAACCCCAATGGTGAATCTTCAGAATTTTAGTAGGAAGTAGGTTTGAGTCAGCTGAGGCCAGGTAACTGATCCAGGATCACCAGCCCTGTTTTATGACTCCAGGTCCAGGGCACCTCCTTCCTCCCAGGAGCTTCTGGGGCAAAAACGGATACAATCCGTGTGGCTTGTCAGGCATGACCACTCAGACGCGATCCAGCTTCCATGAAAGCAGTGATTCCCAGCCCATTTTCCCTTTGACATTCGTGTGACCCCACATGGCTCCAGGTTGCCAGGGCATTAGTCGAAACCCCATCCCTTCCTCTCCCACTCACAAAAGCCCAAGGAGGGAATGTGTCTATGAATAGGGGTAACCTGCAATCCAACCCATCCCTGCCCCCCACCTCAGTGTTTTACTGCTTATAGCAAGTTTCTTTGAACATGTTTCACCACTGATTGCAACATGCCATGGTTAGGCACTGTCCTGCCTGAGCTGTCTTCTAGGGAGAATAAGTAAGTCATTTTGTAGTGGAGGGTTCGTGAAAGAGTGAGGAGAGAGGTGGGTCTGACCCGTGGGAGGCTAGAAAGTGCAGGCTCGGGTTTGCAGGCAATCAGGGGTTCCTGAGTAGAAAGCAACAGGATTAGAGCCATGGTCTGCAGGATGGCTGGGAAGCCAAAAAGCCCGGGAGCAAGGAGACCAGGTGGACTCTTGGAGTGAACCAGATGGGAAGAGATAAAGGTCTGAACTGAGGCAGTGGCAGTGCAAATGGAAAGGAATAAACTTGAGACTGATTGGATATGCACGGGCAAGCAAGGAGGCAAAAGGGGCCAAGGCAGAAGCAGAAGTTTCAGAACATGCCGTCCCGTAGACAGTGGGGGTCCTTGCAGAAACGAATATTAAAATGAGCTTGCAGCCCCAGGACTCGGTATCACGTTGCTGGAAAGGAGACAATCCAGACGGTGCAAAAAGGAAGAAAGAAGAAGCACAAGCTTATAGGGTAGAATTCATGACATATGAATAGTCTTTTTCTTTTAACCAAGCTGCCGCCTTATAGAACTGTCTGTGTAGCCCTGCTGCACTGGTTTCAGATCCTAGGCTAAGTGACTCTGTGGTTAGTCAGACACACATGCAGCTATCTGAGTTTTGAACTTGATTCTGAACATTACAGGTGGGTGCCCGGTGATAGGGAGTATGCGGTGAGTTGCTACCCTTGGCAGTTGACCAGCCAATAACTAGAACGTTTGAAGTGACTAAAACCATACGTTGGGGCCATCTGGTAGACTGTATGTCCCATGTCCGTCAGGGCAGTCTTCTTAAGGGCAGGGATTTTTGTTTTGTTCACTGCTGTATCCCCCAGCAGAGACCAGAGCCTGTTACTTAGTAGATGTCAATAAAGGATTGTCGTACGAGCAGAGGAAGCTGGGGATCCTAAGCGTCTGGCTCACCACAGTAGCCCCAGTGCTGGACACAAGGCTGATTGCATAGCAGGAGCTCAGTAATGGTTTACTGAATGGAGTTGGCGTGAATTGGATGGCATTTGGATTAATGAAACTCATTTCTGTTCGGTTTTATATTGTGCAAAGTACAGGAAAATAATATTCTTCTAATAATAAGTCAATAATTTGGTTGATAATTCTTTACTTGGAACACGAAGCAGTAACAAAACTGCGGTCGTTTTTTTGCTAGTGATGATCTGGAACAGTTCATGGAAAGTCAAGGTGCATCCAGCCCAGGTATCCTCATTTTAACAACCAGCCTCAGCAAACCATTCATGCGACTGGAAAAGTATGTTACTCTCTTGCAAGAGTTGGAACGGCATATGGAGGTAAGGGAAGGCAAGGTATGGGCCTCTGCTCTGGAAGAAGCAGCCAGTCTCCCTCCAGACTAACCTCACTAAGGAATTCAGAAAAAGCCTTGGTTTCGCATTTTACTTGATCCAGTCTTCTCTCTTGCTGGGCTTCTAGTTTCCCTCTTAATGCAGCGAAATAAAAAGGGGGCATTCTTCCCCCCGCCCCCGCTGAAGATTTTTTTATTTTTACTTATTTATTTTTTCCACTTGTATTGGGGTGTGATTGACAAACAAAAACTATATATGTTTAGGTTGTACAATGTGATTTTTTTAGGTGTACAATGGGATGGCTGAATATATGTAGAGATTGTGAAATGATTACCATGAGCAAGTTAATTCACACCTCTATCAATTCACAGAATCAGTAATTTTTTTTCCCTTTACTACTAAATATTCATGATCATTTTCCCTCCCAGCCTCGGTGCTGCTGCTTTTCTCAAGTTGACTTAGGTTTTCCTCCTCTGTAGATGGTGGTTCAGTCAAAATTGACCAAGATCTTCTGTTGTTCTGGTATATGAACCAACCTGATTTGGGGAGATAAACAAAGCAAAGCAATAGAAAATATAGATATCACTTTCACTACACACAGGGATAAATATCTCGAGAGCCCTGTGATCATTGAGCTTTCTGACTCTGGATTATGCCGGAACATTCTGGAATTTCCTTAAAGATTCATAAATGGGTCCAGTATTAGTTTATCTGTGTTTGTATCCATGGACCTACATCAAAGTTCCCTCACATTTGTGTTTATCAACTTAGAGTTGACTGGCAACAAGGCCTGATCATGGAATACTGTTTCAGCAAGAGGCCCGATCCTTTTATTAAAAACCAATCAACAGGGATAGCTTCTAGAGTCGTCCTTGCGCCATCGAGCATGGGTGTTTGAGGTGTGGGTGGGAGAGGAGGGCCCTCTGAGGGAGGCTGCGTTTACCCTAGTTGCTCTTCCTGTGTCTGGGGAAAGGTTTTGAGGTTTTAAAGGGTTTGATTATCTTTAAAGAAAAAGGTTGCACGCTGCCGGTCTTGTCAGCATTTGTAAGGATTGAAAGCACGTCCTCTGAGCAAAACCACATTCTCAGGTTATTTGACCTGCCGGAAAGCTGGAGGCAGTGGGGAGCTAGTGAGTAAAGCCTGCCGGAATGAAATTTCAGTTAGGGCTTGGGAAGGTGTTGACCTCTGGATGCCTTTCCAAAAGCTAAATCAGTTTGCCGAACCGTTTGAGGTTTGCCCCTCCTTGCTTATCGCAAAAACCCAGAAACCAGTGGCCTCAGTTTCTGTTAGGGCTCAATGCTGGAGTACTAATACACACTCAGTTAGAGGCGGAGAAGCCCCAGATGCACCCCCACCCCCCCCACTGCCTGGACCCTCTATCTTGGGCTTCCTTGAATTGGAGCCCGTCTACACTCCTGCCTTCCATTTCCCACCATCAGCTAACCCACACCCTCCCTCAGTGCTAGTTCGCCGTCCGCTGAGATGCTTTCTTCTGACGTGGGTCCGTTCGGCTCTGTGTTTTCTTACCGAAGGCTGGTGGAGCAGCAGACTTTGTCCTTCCATTATTCCAGCTGAATCCCAGAGGTTAGGTAGACATCTACCCCCACATCAGGTCTACAGCCTCCCCAAGAATCTCCCCTTTCCCTTCATGAGCAGTCATGGACGTAAGGATTCCTCAAAGCCGTTCTTGAACCTGTACGCTTGCTGGGGTCGTAAGTACCATGGAATTGCAGACCATAGGTACTACCGTGGCTTACAAAGGCGCACAATGGTATGAAACCTGGAATTTTGTTCCCACCTGCCATGTTGAGTCTGCAGAGGGAAAATGAAGGATTGTGAAGGAAAGTGAAATGGGATTGATTTTTCTCTACCCACCACTCGGTTCCCACAGTTCCCTGCCTCTTGTCATTTATTAACAACATGGCCTGATGATGGCCCCCAACTGCCAATTAGTTATTATCTAAAGTCTCAGGAACCACATCTAGGATGTTGCCAAATCCATGAAGCGCCACCAGCTGTCTTCGTTTCTTGGTCACCTGGTCACTGGAGGCGCTGAGATGCCAAATGCTCAAGTGCTGTCTTATTTTGTGATCTTTAAATTATTGCCTACAGTAAAATGGACTTCCTACTTTTGGCGTGCAGTGCTATGGCTTTTATCACGTGTGTAGATTCCTGTGACCACCGCAGCGATGGGGATGCAGGACGGTTCCGTCACCCACGGGACAGATTTCCCGTCTCTTGCGGCCACATCCTCCTCCCACCCCGACCCCTGACAACGGCTGATCTGTTCTCCATTAATATTGTTTTACAATGTATTTCTTTAATAGGATACGCATCCAGATCATCAGGATATTCTGAAAGCAATCATAGCATTCAAAACTCTCATGGTAGGTGATGCTCTCAAATTATAATTCTCCGTTTTGTATGCTTTGTTCCTAAGAGAGTGACTTGTGTGTAACGTTTCTTTCCTTATGCAAAGGTCTTTAGAATGGAAACAATAAGCTTTAGCGAGAGTATCGCAGTGATTGCTTCATTTAATTTTGTCTTCCAAAAAATCATGCTTACCTACCAAAGGTTGCCAGGCTGCGGGCATGAAGCACTCACATTTGAGGTCTCTGCCACATTAAGCATTGCTGTGTAGGTGGGGGGTTTCCTTTTGTCTCTTTGTCTTTACCCCCATGTCGTTCACCTTATGTCTGCGTAGCTTGTCATTCACTGATTGGCATCGATACGGGATTCATCTATTTATGCCAAAAGGTGTGAGTTTATTCTTTGCATATGAAAAAGAAATCCTTCGTCAAATCTAAAAGGAGAAAACCTACCAAAATGCAATTGCTTTATATAGATTGCTATCAAAGCTACCTGTAATCTTGTATCTTGAGCGTGATGGTTAATGTCTTCTTGAACCCACTGATGTAAAACCACTTGGTGGCATTTTAGGAGAAAAGATAGTGTTACTTTGGGTGATTGATTAAGTTTAGCTTCCTTTTTTAAAAGATTTTTTTATTTGTCTGAGAGAGAGCACAAGCGGGAGGGGCAGAGGGAGAAGGAGAGAGAATCTCAAGCAGACTCTGCACTGAGCACGGAGCTGGATGTGGGGCTCAATCTCATGACCCCGAGATCATGACCTGAGCCAAAACCCAGAGTCGGGTACTTAACCAACTGTGCCACCCAGGCACCCCAAGTTTAGCTTCATTTTAGACATTTCTGTAGCATTCCAAGTAGTTGGGATCCATGGTTAGTTATTGATTCTTGCTATAAGCTTGTGATGGGACATTTACCATCACCTCCTTTTTATTGCTGTCGAAAAATCAGTACCTGATGTGTCCACAGGTAAATAGCAAGTTGAAAACCAGAGTGAGGTATTAGGTTAAAATTGCTATTGTCATAGGTCAAAAACAGTTACATGGCTCAACCTAATCTAACGGCCCACTGACACCTATGTAACATTCCTTTGTCCTGTGTAAATTGAATATAACATTCCTTTGTCCTGTGTAAATTGAATGTAACATTCCTTTTTAAAAAAAATAATAGGTCTTTCTGACCATTTTCCATGTTGCGAAGCTTGCTTTGATGGTCATAGTATATTTATTCCCAGTATAGATGCTTCAAAAATGTGTGTAGAGTGAACTGATGTCTTCCAGTTGCCATATAGCTAAAAGGGGCAGCAGAGATTTTATAGAAAACACACCCCAAAAAACTATGACGTCTATTTGGAAACAGTAACATAACTAACCATATGCTCATTTTCATACTCAACTTGGAATGAATACTGTTAAATCACTCTAAGAAATAACTTCATGCTTTCTGAAGCAGTGATATTTATATATATCGTATTCATATCCCACATATTGTTTCCTGGCTTGTATTTTCAGTTTGTATGCATAAAATTCAGTTGTATCTCTTTTTCACAGTTCTTTTAGGAATAAAAATTAATTTAGTATTTTTTCCCCATACCAATCTACTACTAGTCCCTAAAGTATAGGGCTGTGCCACAGTGAATCAAATCAATCTTATAACGAAACAAATGCATGGCCCCTGCTACCACTTTATCTTGATGTTTTGGCAAAAGTAGCTCTTCCTCACAAAACCTTTGGCTAGAGAGTTAGGATAATGGATCTTTCTGTCTGTTGGGGACACATCATGCTGAGGAATAGGGACTCTGGAAATCTGAAAATCCAAAACTTCATCTCACTTTGGTCTTGATTTGGGTCTGTTTCGCAAGAATTCCTAGCCCATTATGTTCTGCTTTGGTTCTGTAGGGGCAGTGCCAAGACCTAAGAAAGAGAAAACAGCTGGAGTTGCAGATACTTTCTGAGCCTATTCAGGCCTGGGAAGGAGAGAGTATTAAAACCTTGGGAAATGTGCTGTTTATGTCACAAGTAATGGTGCAGCATGGAACGTGCGAGGTAAGACGTTTCAGACCTCAGTGCCATTGCTTCCATCTTTCCTCTTTCCTGTTTTTCTTCTTTGACTTGTCTCTCCGTCAAGGTCAGGTGCTTGAACGTTCAAAGAAACTGAGCAGCTCTTCCTTGCCCAGCACTTGCTTGTGTTTTTCTCAGTCGGGTTTTGAGAACCCCAGGCATCGGGCAAGAGCTGTTCAAATCCACACCACGAAGGGGGAGTTGATGATGCTTCAATCTGACAAGCATGTGCCTCAAGGAGACTGGAGGGGAGGGGGCTGGCCACAGAAGGACCAGCTGGGTTGCAAAGTGAAAAGCACCCCCACCCCCGACGAAGGTGGTGGAGGAGAAAATAAAACTGCAGGGGGCAAATCTGAGCCCGGTTAGGAGGGCAAGTGGAGAGGAAGCGGTGACCTGTGGGCTGGAGATGATGGCGTCATCTTAGACCTGTTCACTTGCAGGTAACCAGCCGTAGGTCTCCAGGTGGAGAGGTCTTGTAGGCGGCTGTTACTAAGGTAGAGAAACGTGGGTGGGAGGGCAGAGCTGGAGGCAGAGATTTAACTGTTCCTGACAGATGTGCCTTCCTAGGAAGAACATATCCAGAAAGAGGCACGGAAGGCTGAAGATGGATTATGTCTTTTAGGAAGGGGGCAGAGTAGGGGAGGAAGGTTGCTTATGTCACCTGGTATGATTTATTGGGTGTTAGAATTGCCTTCCCCATCCCAAAACATCTCCCTATAGTCCCTGACAGGTCTCTGTCAGAGATTCATGACTTGGGGTTAACAAGCAATCTCATTTAAGATGCAGATACCCTGGGGAGGGTTAATGTGGCCGCAAGTCTAACTATTAGTCTTTCACACCTTTGGGATAAACCTCTCGGGTGGAGGGAGGAGGAGCTAGTACCTGGAAGAGCCCGACCCAGAGAATTGGGGGAGCGTGTTGTCATGGAAACCCCGGGAGGGAGGGGTGATGGAAGGTGGTCAGCCGGCTGAGAGCTGCCGAAGGGTCAGAGGTCAAGGAGTATGGAGAGCAAGAAGAAGCCATTGGATTTCGCGAGAAGGCAGTTATTGATGACTTCCAGAGGGCAGTGGGGCCGCAGTTAGGAAGGAATCAATGGGGAGAAAAATGAAGGGAGCAAGTAATTTGGCAAGAGAACGTCAAGGCACGGGGTCCTGGCATACCTGGGAGACACTGGAGGTCCGGTTCCAGAGCCCCGCCATAAAGCCAACAGCACACTGAAGCGAGTCAAATCAAGTTTTCAGTCTCGCGGTGCATGTAAAAGTTTTCTGTACGCTGTACTGTAGTTTATTAAGCGGGCAATAGCGTTATGTCTCAACACAGTACATACCTCCATCAAAAATACTTCATTGCTAAAAAATGCTAACCATCATCGGAGCCTTCAGTGAGTCATAATCACTGATCACCAGAACAAATACAGTAATAGTGAAAAAGCTTGAAATGTGGCAAGAATTACCAAAACGTGACAGAGATGTGAAGTGAGCAAGTGCTGCTGGAAAAATGGTGCCTGTTGGAAAAAATGGTGCCTGTAGACTTGGTCCACGCAGGGTTGGCACAGACCTTCAGTCGTAAAAAAGGCAGCATCTGCGAAGCGCAACACAGCGAGGCGGGCCTGTGTTACGAAGAAGGAGCCGCGGTGGCCAGTGAAGGACAGGAGATGGGCGGATGGTAAAGGCAAAAGAGAAGAAACTAGCTAAGCAGGAGAGGCTGCTGGAAGGAGAAGGAAGAGGTGAAGTGTCTGCAGAAGGAAACCAAGCAAGAGAAAGATGTGAGAGGCTGCAGAGAACTTGGTAGAAGAGTGAGCCTCGAAGGATTGCCCTTCTCAAGTGCAAGGAAGGAGATGGAGAGAGGCATAAGGATCATTGTAGCTAACATGGCTGGGCGTGTAAGCCGAACAGAATTTTTTTGCACCTACTAATCGCCTATCTGTTTAAGGGGTTCAGAGAAGCCCTCCTGTGTGAAATTTCCTTTCATGCCATTTTCAGAAAGTATTTACTTCTTCCCATTACATGGGTCCGATAGTTATCTTATTCTTACCGAGTAAAAGTAATTTTATGAATGAGAATTTAATACACATGCTAGAGCATAGGAAACTTCCTATGGCCTGAAAGCCCCTTCTGTTTTGCTCCTTTTTAAGGTAAAATCATTTTCATTTTGTGACCCCAGAGCCTTGTGCCTTGGCATGAACCCTGTGACGTCTCAGGCGTGCGTACTTGGGAACCAAGCATGGTTATTTGCATCTAACTATTTTGTAGAGGAAGAAGAGAGATAAACCATGGGTTTGTACTCCTTTCAAAGCAAAATTCAACTAGTTTGGTGCTTTGAGGTTGGGTATCTTTCTTAAAAGGTCACTGTTCGTGTTTTGTTGCCTCATAAGCTCTGGGTTACACAACAGTGACTCCTGAAATTCTTAACAAATAAAATGTCCAATTTCTGTTCTCCGCTTAGCATGTTTCATTTCACTTTAGGAAAAAGAGGAGCGGTACCTCCTGTTGTTCTCAAGTGTCTTGATAATGTTATCTGCAAGTCCTCGGATGAGTGGCTTTATCTATCAGGTTAGTAGATTTCATATAAAGCAAATAGCAGGACCCAGAATGAAAACAGGTTTCCATCCAGATGCAGTATTTCCACTATGGCATTAAAAGCTCCAGCCAGAGAACACAGAGTGTTCTGACCCTTTGTTGTAATTAAACGGCTTATAAGAACAGATGTTCCTTAGATCAGAAACCTTTATACCGCTGTAGTGAGTTTATCTTCAATGTCCACTGCTCTGGTTGTGAGCTAGGTTATGAATGTTTAAATAGAACTCTAAGTCTGCAGCTGGATAAATCAGCAGCTATGTTTCACGGGCTCATCTCGTATCATTATTGCTGAGAAACTATAAAGCTGGGACCCACTCCTGTGACTGTCTGTCTGGTCACAGTCATATCCCATGATTTGGGGTTCTGAGGTGCAAGTCGTGAAACTCCTTAGGAAGTTAAACTTCCTTCAGCCTGGCAGAGCAATTACTAATTTTCGTAAAATTGGACTTTTTTTTTTTTTTTGAGTCTTTACTTTGTTGACTGAGTCTCCTGCAAATGTGTTAGAAAAAAATAAGCTGTTTGTAAATCTCCACCGTATGGTTTAGGGCGCGTTAGCAAAACACAACCCATATTTCCCCCTTGCTTTCTTGTCTAATTAAAACTGAAAGCAGGGAAACATACTATCTATTGACAGGCCAGAGAAATCTGTCTAGCTGTCATTCAGCAGGGATTCCTGAGAGGGTCAGAAAAATCTAATAGACATAAGCAGAGGTGCATATAACCACAGAATTAACGGGAATGTTCTTTCTCTGATAGGGAAAAATACCAGTAGCGGGAATGGTGGTGACTAGATTAGATGAAATCGAAGGGAATGACAACACATTTGAAATCACAGGTAGGTAATTTTCTCTTTTTTCAAGTAGCTACTTGAAATCCTTTTTGAGACGAGGTGGGATTTGAATAAATAAATGCCATTATTTTCTGTGATAAGGCTATGAGTGAGCTTTACCTGGGCACGGCATAGTATGTTCGCTCTCCTGGGATAATTAGGGCCCAGCGATAGAACACAGTCTCCTGGCCACTCAGAAGCCTCGGCTTTGCCATTAGTTTCGATCTCTTCTTGCCTAAGACAGCCACTTGTTGGGACTCAGAAATAACAAAACGGACTGATGTAAATGCACAAACCAAGCAAAATGCCAGGCCTGACCTTTCGGCCTGGGGTCCCTTTTGCCAGGCCTGTGTGATTTCCACGTTTTGCACAGACAAAGCACAGTGGCTGACGCTGGGATGTTGGCCCCGGGGCCTTACCCCCTTCTTCCCCAGTAGGGAGCCTGAGATTAGATGTTGGTTCAACTTTGAATAGTGTCTGAGGCACTACAATATTCTCTGTGAACGAGATGGCTCGGTTCTTCACTTTTTGCCCTGTGAGTTTGTTTAAAGTTTTAGACTACTTTCCTCAGATTCTGTAAGCAAGTAGAAGTCAAGGACAGTTTTAGAAATCAGATACAGGTATTTATTTCCTGACTTCATGACCTGTCCCCAACATAGACGTTTCCACAGGGTTAGCCCGTAGGTGTGAACCCTCCTTAAAAACAGACACCTGAGTCTTAGTTGCGTCGAGTCTGTTTATGAAGGAGGCGAACTCAGGCTTCTGCTTGCTCTTGTTTCCAAATGCTCCCCGGTGGGCGATGCAGGTAACGTGGAGAGAATCGTGATCCACTGCAGCAGCAACCAGGACTTGCAGGAGTGGCTGGAGCAGCTCTGCAGACTGATCCGGGGGCCCGCCTCCTGCAGTTCATTATCCAAGACCTCGTCATCATCTTGCAGCGGTCATTCCGTAAGTGGTCCACTCGCGCTGTCCGGGGATTGTTGAGGCTCTCGTCAGACCTGCCTGCAGAGGACTTACGAGAAGCAGTGAGCATGCCCTTAGTCTTCAGCTTGTCTATATTTGTAGGCTTCAAAGTACAGTAAAACCTCACGAATTCTGATTTCTTGTTGTGGAGGGAGGCCCATCCAAATTAAGACAAAGGTGTACCGAGAGGTGTGCACTTTTGTTTGACAGTATTAAGGGACTCCCCTGCCCCAACTGCCGGCAGAGTTTTTCTCATCACAAGTCCCACTAAGATATTTCAGTGATACACAAAATTCATTTTATTTAGCGACCGTTAGTCTCCTACTCATTGTGTGCTGAGTCAAAACACAGAGTTTCCCTTCCCCAGGACTTAAGCCCCGCCATGCAATCTCATTGATGCTACCACATTCACTAGGTCACCTTCGAGGGTAAACTTGCAGCGTTGCCTTCTTCCGAGTTATCACAACTTTGGAATTCCTGGAATTGGAATCGATGAGATTTTACCGTACTTGTTGAGTGAGAGCGAAGATTGCCGTGTTGTCTGTAACACTCAAACCGGTGATGCCAAAACTCCAGTCTCAGGCACTGTGTGTTGTGGTGGGAAGAACGAGGGCTTTGGCATCAGACCTGAGTTCAAATCTTGGCTTTGTCAGTCGCCAGCTAGTTACTTTGCTTTGCTGAGGTTCGTCTTTGGTCGTTCCGCTGAAATAACTTATTTTGGCACCTAGTCGAGCGCCCAACGCACGACTGAACACATTCAATGTTGACTCCGCTTTCCTCTCTTCTAAAGGAAAGCCACCCCTGGCTTGAGTGAAATTCCAGAAGAGAGAGGGAAGACAGGATCATAGGATGTTGAGTCAATGTGGTGCTGTTCCTTAGAGACCCCATAAGCTGGACTGGAAAGTGCCAGTTCTCAAACTGGAGACTTTTGTTTGCCCACCTTTCCTTTTCTATGGCTGGCTTTGCTGATCCAATGACACTGTTGCTGTTCTCGCGCCGTGTGGCCCAAGGTTGGGTTCAAATGGCAGATTGCCAACATCTCATCAGACATTTTCCCAGTCTTTTAGCTCTACTGGACAGCCCCGAGGACCCCTGGAACCTCCTCAAATTATAAAACCGTGGAGTTTAAGTTGTCTACGACCTGCACCTCCACTTAGACCATCAGCAGCACTAGGTTATAAAGAGGTAATTTTGCTACCTATGGTATAAAATGCTTCTGACAAGCTCATTTCATAGCTCATTACAGATAATTCTGTGGGAATGTGCTAGAATTTATGCTAGGGGATAGATGTCAGTCACTTGTGAATTGTTAGACTCAGGGATTTCTTATTTTTTAATTTCCCGTTTCCCCAGTGTCCCTGTACAGATATTTATCAAATATCCACAGGGTTTATGTGCACTGCCTGAGTTCCCTGGTTCCCTCCTAAAGTGCCTCTGCTTCACCTTTCTGATGACAAGACAGTTGTACACTTTGGTAATCACATCCACACGTCTCAAACAAGAGCCACTTCATTCGACCCGAATTTCCACCCAAGCCAACCCAATTCTGCATTTTTGGATCATTTTGATCTATTAAGCCAAACCAGGAAAGTCTTATGGGACCAGGCCATGAGTCTGAACTATGAGGGCCTGGACTTTTTGCTGCAGTTGGGAAGGGAAAAGAATTTAATGAAAAGAATGTCTTTTAAGCAGAGGCTTTTAGGCAACAACCTTAGAGGGCATTGGATATTTGGGTAGTGTGGGCATTTGAAGTTTCTTTCTATTTTTTCCTGAAAGTTGCAGTCGGGAAATGTCAGTCACTAGCTCCTGTGATTGTGGAGTGTTACTTTTTCCATCCAGTGTTTTTAATTTTTTTTTCCCCTAAGCTGTTTCTCATCGTTTCAGCTTTCAGTAAAGAGCCTCATTTATTAGGAACTGTTCTTTACCTAGGTCTTACCGAGTGAAGGTTTAAGTCTGTGACAGTTATGAGGTGCGTCTTAGAATTAGGGGGCAAAGACAGCATATATTTCTATTTTGAACGTGTGTTTTGATGCCTGACACAGATTTAGCTCAATTTTAAGTTTGTCCCGATCTCAAACACCGTGCTGCTGTTTTGATTAATTGTTGCCTCCAACTCCGAGTGCAGTAAAAGTAAAACAGTCTTTGGACACCGGAGGATTTTTTGGTCATTTCAGCTGGGCACGACAGGGGAAATAATGCTTGAGCAGAATCCTTATTATGTACCTCTGTCCAGAATTGGGCCAGGAAATAGTCCCACAGGTTTGCTTTGGAAATCGACCAGTGATAACCCGCAGGCATCCAATTTTCTTCTCTGATTATGTAAACCAGGAGCGCCACATCATAGTTACCTGGGTCCCCTTTTTAACGATGGATATTTTGTAATTGTCAGTTACTAAGTTCAAATGCAGGTGAGCCTTGAAGGGTAAAGTTGACTTAATCCTTCACAGAACTAATCCATTAAAACTAAGGCATGATCATGTTGTTTCCACTGGGAGAAGAGAGTTATTAATATATTCTTACTGCATAGTGTGTATTTCGGTTATTTTCAGTATTTGTTATTCCACACAGAACTATATTCCTTGGGCTTTTGCATGATGATATTGCATCTGAGACTAATGTGGGAAACATGATGATATTCTCTCTGTGTAATTGATGATAACACTAACATTTCAAATGTTGTTTTAGAATTATTGATAAATGGATTTGGTCATTATAACCATCGACCTCTCACGCTCATCTTCTCTTTCTTTACATATTCACTTTAGAGGATGTCTTATATCTTAAAGGTAAGGGTAGAACAATATCTTTGGCTTACAGTGACATCATAATGCTGTGCTGTAACCTTTGATGAATGAAGCTTTCCTTTATGCTTGTTTTGTCCCTTGTTCTAACTGGTGGCTAAAATATGAAGATGCAAATCTGACATGTAAGTACTTTCTTCAAAAAAGCAGGCTCTTGTGAAATACATTTGAAAACATCGTCTTCGATGCCCTAAAAATGCCCGTTTTCCTTTGTGTGTGTGTGTGTTTTTTTAATGCTCTTTTTCCTGTTCTTTTTGTCACATGCGAGTTTTCCATGTCTGTCTGTTTTCAAGTAAGTCTAAGTGGGTCACTGTGGCTAAGTGGAAGAAATTAAATTCTTTGTTCCGTATATTTTGAGGTACTAATTATTATCCATACATCACGTATATGCATCGCATGGGAGATTGGGAGAAGAATGGTCACCAGGGTCTGAGATTCTAATCCGTTTACTTGGATACCTGATAATGGGCACTGGTTATTCAGACGGCAAAAGCAAATTCAATAATTCATGGCTCTTTAATCACCTAATTAAAAATCTGGCTTTATATATGTATATTTAAGCTTGGGTCTACACCTGTGACTCTTGACCCCGAGTTATTTATCCAGAGATCCCTCATTTGGCTCTTCTCCCTGACTTCAGGGAAAGTATTCAGTCCCTCTGCCTTAATTTTCCCATCGGACAAATGGAAATTAATATTCTTCTTTGGGGGACTGTTGCTAAGGAAAATGTATTTAAACCGTTTTGAAGCTCTTTGAAAAGCAGTATGTACTACAGTTGTTACTTAATTTCCTTAAAACCGTATCAGTGAGGACTATAAACCACGTTAGGAATACCGTTATTTCCCTAGGATCAACACCCACTGCTTTCACTACAGATGGCACCTGTCCCTATGGCAATTGAGAGGACAATGTCATTGCCTCTGTTTTATGTAACCTTTTAGAGTTTATTGGAGCCATTTTTTTGTGTGTGTATGTTATTAAATTTTGATGCACTCTGGAAACTGTCAAAATAAGAGAGAGCCATTCGGTTTAATTTCATTTGCTCTTTTTAATTTGTTTTCGGGGGGAGAATTCTAATTCATAAAGAAACCTCTATCCTTACAGGAGTCTAGTAAGAGCCCCAAAACAATGAAGAAGTTTCTTCACAAAAGAAAGACGGAAAGAAAGCCATCGGAGGAGGAATATGTGATTCGGAAAAGTATGTGTTTTATACTTTTTTTAAAAAAAGATTTTATTTATTTATTTGACAGAGAGAGACACAGCGAGAGAGGGAACACAAGCAGGGGGAGTGGGAGAGGGAGAAGCAGCCTTCCCACCGAGCAGGGAGCCCGATGCGGGACTCGATCCCAGGACCCTGGGATCATGACCTGAGCCGAAGGCAGACGCTTAACGACTGAGCCACCCAGGCGCCATGTGTTTTATACTTTTTGACGGTCAGTTATGGATGAGCTAGCAGAAGAATTTTGTTGAAAGCAGATGATGAGAGCAGCTTGTCCTCTGTATCACCTGTTACACAAAGAAAAATGCATGCATTCTAGGGTTTGGTCACCTCTAAGCTTTTTGAACGAGCTGCCTCCCACTGCACTTCATGTGATCTGAGCCAAACACCCTCCATATGATCTTCGCGTTGAAGATTTTGCCCCGCCTGGTTGAGAACCACTAAAGGGCCACGTTTGCTATGGATACATTTTTTGTCCCTTAGTTTCTGATGCCCAAGATGTTTTCCGCTACTGAGATAGACTAAACAGACCTGAAGGCTGAAATCCTTCTGGAAATTTAATGCTCAGTGACGTTCCCAGTTAGCCAAGGTATCAGCCTGCTGCCGTGTAGAAACGGCTTGATTCCCAGGCGGACAGCAGAGTCGGTTGGCCAGTCCATATGTGCGCATTGGCCTCTATGGCTGGGACCGAGTTACTTTGGGACACACATGAAGGAGTAAGGGATGCCTCCTCAGTGTCTCAGCCAAAAATACAGTCTGGAGAAATCTTTGCCGGACTCCAGCTTCTGCATAGCCCAGCCCACCCCTGGGTGCGCACATCAGCCCTCTAGCAGGGTTCCATCCCCCAATCCCTTCCAGAACGAGTTGGAGAGGGAGAGGGAGGGAGGGAGAATTAATGACTCTGCTGGCTGCTTGGAAAAAATGGGTGAGGTCTATGGGGGAAAGCTTCCTAGAGAAGGGGAGCCTTACAATTTGGAGGGGAAGCAGGTTGTTGTGTATTTTGGATGAGAACCGAGGCTAGGGCCACGCCCGCTGCGGTCATTGTGGCCCCTCGGAGTCTTAGTAGAAGCCCCCAAACGATGAAAAAGTTTCCTCAGCAAAGAAAAATGGAAAGAAAGCGGCCGAAGGAGGCTTTCCAGTCAGGGAAGCCAGCCCCCAGCAGCGGAGTGCGCCGGGTCATCTCGAGGGTCCAGAGGCAGATCTGTCTCTGCAAAGTCCTTATTCCTTAAATCCGACAGGTACTGCTGCTCTGGAAGAAGATGCGCAGATCCTTAAAGTGATCGAAGCCTACTGCACCAGCGCAAATTTTCAACAAGGCCACGGCTCGAGTAGGTTCCCTCCCAAACCACTTTCTCTAATGAATGCTATTTCTTTTTGACTGCTCAGCGCCTCTTTGAAAAAAGAGAAAAGCAGGTGACCGGGTGCAGAGGAGTGCTTCAGAACTGCATCTTTCCGATAAGGTGCTTTGAGCTGCCAGGCGGTTTGTTTACCCGCTGTTTCTTTTCACCCAGAGAGAAAGAGAGACGCAAGAGTAAAAAAGTTGGAGGTGATAGAAATGAGAAAAAAAAAAAAAAAAAAGATTTTTTTTTTTTTTTAAAGTCCTTCTCCTTTGAAGTATACAGATACCTTCACGAGCACTAGTTAGGAATTAAAGAGCCCAGAGAGTTCCTGTGTCTGTGAACTGATGCTAATCTCTTCTCATAGGCAGATTTGGAAAGGAAGTCACAATACTATCTTTGATCAGCTGCATATTTAAGTGAACAGTGCTTCACCCAGCTCAGGTTTCAAAGTTGCTCTGAAAATCTGGAAATGTAGCTGCTCAGCAGGGGCCGTTTGGAATGTGTGCAGTTTACAGGGAGCTACCAGCAAAGGGCACCCCCCCCCCCACCTCCCAGCACCTTTCAGGCTACAAACTGAAAGCCAGATGAGGTTTTTCTGATTGCTCCTTGAGCTTTTTAAAAAACCAGGTCACATCAGTTCTGTCTTGTCTGCTGTGATTATAGACATTCAGGAGACCTGGTGCAAGGTGTTTGCATCTGCAGAAGAAGTGAGTTCTCCATAACGCTCCCCGTTGGACAGCTAATGACCAATCACCTGAGTAGGGGTGGGGATTGCTTGGGCGGATGGCCTTGACCGATGCCTTCAAAGTAACATGTCCCCAAGGCTGGCGTGAGGAAAACATTTGATGTCAGACTTCACACATTTGACCGTGAAGAGAGGACTGTCCTACGTTCTGCTTCACAGACAGATCCTGGCTCTGAGAACAAGTTTCAAGGAGGCAGGAATGGAAAGTGAGAGCAGTTTGGGACGTGAAAACTAGGAAAGAGAGGGGGACAGGGAGACACCAAAAGAAGCATCCCTCATACAAAACATGACCTCATCTGCTCCCTGAACCTGCTCTCTTCACATCAACAGCGTCCGCAGATCTGTAGGAGGTGGAGGCAGTGTTCTCGCCTCAAGAGTCACGTTTCCGCCCCTCCTGCCTAGCCTGCCCCTGACACGTGGCAAGTGTCTAGCATCATGGCGGCCTCCCATTCTCTGTCCCTCTCTCCAGCCAGAAGTCCTGTTTCCTGGGGAACTGAGTGCATTTAACCAGTCAGTTTGTCAGTCTGCTGCCTACTTAGTAAGTGCCTACGGAGTGCTGGGCCCTGTGGAAGGCAGAGACACCACCACCTCAGCAAGGGGGAGGCAGTGAGTGCACACAACTCGAAGATTCAAGATTAAGGGCTCGAGCTCCAAGAGGAAGGATCCAGAAGTGAGGGGGAGGTTGGAGGTGCAGGAGAGCTCTTTGGTCCGGTCCCTTGTCTGTTCTGTCACCTCTTCCATCCCCAGAGCCTGGAGAGAGTCTGAGCAGAGCCATAAACATGCCCATGTCTTTGTGCTGATGCGGTAACGCCCAACCCCTGCTCCACCTTTGACTGGAATGGACTTCACTGACAAAATGCCCCCCACCCTGGCCAAAATTGAATCAATGTATTTGTCTATTTTCTCACGTCAGGAAGATTTAGTCAGCAAATGTTGGATGACTGCTCTCTGGGGGCAAGGCAGCAATGTGCCATCAACAAGGACCCCTCAGTGACAATAGTAGAAGGGGCCAACACCTAGAGCAGTCTCGGGTAACTCTCCCCTCGCAACCCTTGTTTGTAGGTGCACGCAAAGATTCGCTCCCACAAGTCTTACTCCCCGAGGAGGAGAAACTCATCATTGAAGAAACCAGGAGCAATGGCCAGACTATCATCGAAGAAAAGTGAGTAGAGCGGGCTACCTTTTCTGATTTGTCTGGGGGCTGGAAAGAAGGTTCCAGCAGGGCAGTGCGTCTCTTGCAAAGCCTGCACTGAAGGACAGTCCCTCCTTCTCTGGGAATATAGCCCTGTTTGCTCTCACGCAGTTGGGAGCTGTGGGAGGGCTGCCCCCCAACAAGGGGAAGCGGGGAGGGGAGGCAGAGGGGGTGGAACTCTCTGCACGGTGGCTTCCCCACATGGGAAGGTGCTCTAGGGTATGCAAGAATAGCACTCCAGATGGGTCTAGGTGGCACTTGGGAAGGCGACAGCACCAGTTTCCATGGCCAGAGGGTTGCTTCTCACATTTACTGAATCAAACCCTGGACTTTTACATACTTGACCTATTTAGAATCCTACAGAAACCCAGCGAGATAAGCATTACTTTCACCACTTCTACTGAAGTTGAGGCTCAGGGAAATGATGTTCCCGGTCTACCTTTGCACACTAGTGAGGGTGACCCAATGGGGGAAAAATCAGGTTAAGTACATATGGGCTCATAAAATAAACACAAAGTAGCCAAATAATTCATTTGTTTAAACTTGAGTCATTTCTGAAGTCAGGCCTAAATTTGCATAGGACAGCATATTTCAAAGTGCTTGACATCGTCAATGTATTTTCCCATCTGGTATATGAAGTGATGTGGCAAAATGGTAAAGCCCTTGGGCTTAAGAGAACAGCCCTGGTTCAAGTCCAAATTCTGCATCGTGTTAGCTGTGTGATGTGGGGGCCAGCCTCTTGACCGCTCTGTGCCTTGGTTTCCCCATCCGTAAATGGGTATGATAGTAATACTTTAAGGTTTGTGGTGGGGTTAAATGGAAGAATAAGTATAAAGGCTGGCACATGGTCATCACTCAATAAATGATAACAGTTGTAATAATAATTGTTTATAATAGCTATATTAATCCCCACAACAACTTTGTGAGGCTTGCGGGGAATGTGGTATTATTGCCATTTTGTAAGTGAAGAAAGTAAGACAGGGAGAGGAGTAGAAAGAAACTGGTTACCCAAGGTTGGAGGACTGGTAAGTGGGAGAATCCGAACTGGAACCCAGATCTCCAGAGTTCTTGTCCAGGGAGAGAGCCATCTGGGAAGTAACTGTCCCATGACTTAGCCAGGGCACTTTATCCTCTTTTGGAACAGATGGGATCTTCCAGAAAGAATGCCCCTGACTTTGTGTCATGTAGGGTCATGTAGGGTCAGAGAGGTGAGAACAGCAGTGCCATTGCACAGATACCATAAGATAGGCAGGTCTCATGACACCCCACATTACATGTTAGGTGATGTTCGTTCCTGCCCCAAAGGAAGAATCAAAACCTTATGATGAGCCCGAGTCTCTCCTTTTTTGTACTGTCCCAAGCTGGGAAGCAAGCGGCCAAGGAGGATGGCAGTAGAGAAAAGGTGCCATAACATGGCATTCGAATGACCACGGGTGCGGGCGGTTGTTGGCCCCTGAAAATAGGGACCACGAGCACCATTCACGGCAGTGTCTCTCCCGACCAGCTAGAAAGTCCACTGCTTTTCAGGAGCTGTAGTTCTCGAAAGCTGCTTTTATGGTTAAGTTTTTCTTAATAGTATTTCAGTGCCAGCTCTTAATCTCTGAAATTTATGTTCTAGGAGTCTGGTCGACACTGTGTATGCCTTGAAGGATGAGGTCAAAGAACTGAAACAGGTAATGAAATAGAAAAGTCATTTTCTTGGGTCACATAACAGGAACAAGGTGGTGAGGTGGGGATTTTTCTTGTGTCTTCATGGTGGGTTTTGTTGATTTTACCACGTGGTCTTGGCTTTAAATTTCTCAGGATTGCTCATATACCTATTTAGCGGTTTACAATAGGGTCTCATACTTAGTTACAACTTTCATGCTCTCTGACATTTGTAAACAGAGTGTTAACAAAGGTAAATCATCCCTGAGTGTGTGAGTGTAAAGAGAACTGTAAATCTTGATTTGTGGGATCCTCTGCAGATGTGATCCAGTGCTCCATGATGCACACTCTTCCTGGTGTTTGGGGACTGGCTGTACCTGGTGACGGGGGAAAGGATGGGCTGGAGGGGGGAGAACAGAGACTGGAAGACCACTTGGGAGGTTATCACAAAACTCAGGGTGAGACACGATGGAGTCCTGAACTGAGGCAGTGCCGTTGAGGCTGCAGAGGGAGGAAAACGAACGTAAAGGAAGGCACATCGCAGGGGTAGAGCCTGTGGAAAATGATGCTGTGATGTTGGGATTAAGAGGGAGAGCCAGGGATTGAAGATGAAGCTTCTTACGTGGGTATCTAGTTTGACAGGGTGGTGCCCTTCACGGAGATCAGGAGGCACAGGAGGAAGAGAAGTTTGGGGTGACGGTGGAGACAGTGAGTTCATTTTAGGACATAATGAGTTTGAGGCGCTTGTAAATATCAAGTTGACACTGGGGACTGTGGACCTTGTGCTCGTGAGATGAGATGAGGTCAAGTGTCAGAGGGACTCGGGAGGCCCCTGAGTTGAGTTGAAGGAGAAGAGACATTAAGTGAAAGGAGAGCTGAGTTGGAAGAGGGCCCCGGGCCAGAGCCGTAGAGGACGCTTACACTGCAAGCAAGAAGAATGCAAAGGCTCGGCCAGAGAGGGGTCAGAGAGGCAGGGGGCTGCCTTGTCTTAGAAGCTGAGTGAAGGGAGCCTGAGGAAGGAAAGCACAGTCAGTGGTGAAGGCTGCTAAAAGGATGAGCAGGAGGAGCCCTGGGAAGGCGCTCCTTGGTTGGGGAATTAACAAGTCTTTTGCCATCATAGGAAAATAAAAGAATGAAGCAGTGCCTGGAAGAAGAATTGAAATCGAGAAGGGACCTAGAAAAGCTGGTCCGGAGGCTGTTGAAGCAGACTGATGAGTGTATTCGGGCCGAGTCCAGTAGCAAGACCTCCATTCTTCCATAACCATCACTGTGCAGCTGGGCACACGTGCCTCCAGGGCATCTCGAAATGTCCAGCTGAATGATTTGTTTGATCACTTCCTTGGTTTTTATTTTGTACCTGAGTCAGTCTTTCTCTCTCTCTCGCTCGCTCTCTCTCTTTCTCTGTCTCTCTGTTTGCTTGAGTGTTTGTTGTCATTCGGTTATTGGTTGGTTGTTTTCTTTTTGACTGGGGTAAAAGCAAGAGGTGGTGGTGGAAGTCTCCCCAGAGTCTTTTCCATCTAATAAGAAAAGGACAACTAGTATAGGCAAATGACTTAAATGGTCTTCAGATGGCCTTCAATTCATAGTGCCTCTTCACCAGCCATTACCCTCCTCCCTGGCCCCGCCCCGCCCCGTCACTCTTTTGGGGCTGGCTGCCATATCAAAGTGGCTGGCCATGGCTTAGTAAATGTGAACTTGACTTTTTCTTTCATGCTTTCTTGTATCTGGAAGCCCCTCAGTACCCAGTTTAAGGAGGGCAAAGCTCCTTGAGCTATGACTAGGGTAGGGTGAATGGAAGACTAGCACATTTGCCCAGTGACCCAGCCACCCTGCCCTGACTATCATGTGCCACCCCTCAATGCACACTTTTTATTTTAATTACTGCCCTGTGTTGTCTGTAAGGCCAAGAAAACAGTAGCACCCTTATTCCTTTTATGTGGGTTTACATTTTAACTCTATGGGGCAGAAGCTCCGGTCACCCCCGCCAGTACCAGACCCATTAGCAAATTGCACTAGACAATCTTCCCCTTCAGCCGCAGAGTTGACCATCCCTGCCCAGTGCATGATAGGTTTTCCCCCCTAACCGTCTGCCTCGTGTGTAAGTTTTCTATTTCCCCAGTGCTTTCAGCCAACCGTACGAAGCGGTGTGTAAACTAGTATGTGTGCGCTTTGCTTACTTTTTGAAAATATAGACTGTGAGCAGTTACTTCATCTACATTGCATATTCAACATGTGACTTCTCATCCTTCAAAACAATCTGCATTGAGGAGATATTGTGCCCTAGTAGACCGCTTTAATTCACTTTATCGCTCTCCCAGGTATGCAGTGAGAAGCTGTAATATTCATCAGCCTCTTTGAGTAGAACTTGAAGCATTATTTGCAGAAATGTGCTGTTGGTCCAGTTTGTATATCCAGAAAGAAAGGACCCCTCTAGTGGTCGTGTGCTGGTTGCTAGCGAAGCTCAGTATTTGGAACTGGTCTACTAACATTGCTCATTGAATCAAACAATCACCTTTGTAAGTGTCTCCAAAATTAGAACTGTGGTAAACCAGGTTTAGAAGAGGGTCCCAGAAGAACAAAACACATCCAAATTCAGCACAAATGAAAGTCGGCACAAGGCTCCAGGACAGAGCAGTGCAACCTGCCCCTTTCTCTCCCCAAGACAGGTGCAATTGGGCAGGTGGGGTAGATCACTGGAAAGAGAGGCAAAGGGCCAATGGACTGGTCAAGGTTGTCTACCAGATACATTTGATGGGTGCCTATAAATGTGGGTTTTGCAAATGGTGTTTAGAAACCACACTTGAAGCTTGAATCCCCCAGCTTGCTAAGCTCTTTTTCTTTCTAGTACTGGGGGGGGGGGCTCTCAAGTTCCCATAGCTACACGGTACAGGGCTGTTGACTGTTTGCTGCACAGGAAGGACTCCCCACAGGAAGGGGATGATTCCACAGTCTGCCATCAGCCAACCACACGCAGCCATCTTTGGAAGCTCAAGAGTGAAGATTTCTGGAAATGGCCGTTGTTCTGTTTTTAAGCCCAACAGCTTAGATATGCCGTCCTTCACCTAAAAATTAACAACCACACAGATCTGAGCATCTGCCCCGCCTGTGGTTAATCAATGCCTTGCAGTAAATGCGCAAACTACATCCATAGGGAACATTTTTGTGATTACAAAATAGTTAAGGTATAGGATTGCTTATAATATTGAAAGGTCTTTATTTTAAAGCAATGTGTACATATGCATGTTTTTGGAACTTGGCCCTTCTGAGGAGAGGCCCTCGGTACTCAGAGTGGTGTCCGTGCTCACATATTAAGCAGTAATATAAAGGAAATGAAGCCATGTTAAACCGAGAGCAGTGTCTCCATAGTTGTGTTGTTTACAACACTCTGTAAGTGGGTTCCTGTTACCCTGTAATTAAACTGCTGCCCTTAGAGGCTTTTTACTTCCTCTTCTGTCATGTCTCTTCTTATACAAGCTCAAATTTTCTAACTTGTTTTTATTTTGAAGACTTTTAAAATGGACATTTTCAATAAATAAGAATAACAATGCTTTATAAACTAAGTCCCGTGTTTTCTTTGCTAGCCAGTGTGCAGAAGGATTTCTCACACGGTGGCAGCTTCCTCCCCCATGTACTCATTAGCCGTCTGCTCTCATTGGGTCCCCTGGCCTTCCACCTGTTTCCATCAGGGCAGGTGATATTTGCTCCCCACTTTACAGTGATAATTCATGCCACAAGACAGAACTTTCCTTAATTTCTCCACCCCTGTCCTTCCGGTCCCAACCTATGGACTGTTTGTACACCATTTTCTGTCTGGTATCAGGATTTTGTCAACCAGTGATAGCCTACATTTTGACGACAGTTGGAATGCTGGTGTCAGCTGTCAAGATGAAAATATTTGCTCCACCTCGAGACAGATGTGCTGGATATTATCTGTTGTTACTCAGCATTCCTTCCTACCCTTTTTGTGTTTCTCCTTGGAAGCCTAAAGAAAAGAAAAAAAAAAAAAGACCTATCTCAGACTCCCTTGCAGCTAGGGTTCTCTATACAATATGGGTTCTGATACATTTTCAGTTCTGCCAATGAGATGCCTTTGCATGATGTTTGGAAAGCTCACGTTAGGCAGAGGATATCTTCCTGGGCTTGGTGGCTGGCGGGCAGTTCCAGAGATGTGTTTGTGGCTTCTGTACTCTAGCTTCCAGTGTGTCCACTCACAGCTTTGTGCGTGGGAGATTGTCACGGCAGCGGTGGTGGAGCAGAAGCTTCCTGAACTAGATTTGGGTCACAGCTACAATAAAATGACCTTGAAGCCATTAGTCCAATGGAAGCCCCCTGACTTCCACTTCTGTTGCCAACAATTTTGTAGGCACTGAGTATTACCTTTCTGCTTGGGATGCCTTTGGCAGTTTATGTTTCCTACTCTGAAGCATTAGATACAATATCACACCTCCATGTGCTAGGCTCTATCCCAAGTGTTTTATATGGTTGAGCTCACAAAGCCCTCACAACCACCCGGTGAGGTATTGGTTAGCCCCATCTTACAAAGGAACAGAGGCACAGATGTTGAACAAGATGCTACTATGTGTGGAGCTGGGATTCGAAACCCTGGTCTGTCCACCTCTGGGATCCGCGCTCTTTCCACCATGCTTTCTCCTCTGTACTTGGCACCTGCTAAGTGGCTACTACCTCAGCCACCTACTCTCGTGAAGTAGTCACTAATGAGCTGTTAATTGAAGAATCCGGGGAACACTTTTCAATTCCTATCTTGACATCTCCACATTATTTGACCCTCGCCTCCTTGATAAATCTCTCCTTCCTTGGCTTTCCTGATCCCAACTTTTCTGACATTTATTCAACTTTTCTGACCACCCCTGTTCTTCTTTGCTGGCTCCACCTCCTTTGCCTGTCCCTTGAACATTTGCTGATCCTCGACACTTTTCTTCTTCTCTTCCTTTCTATGGCCTCTTCCTGGACAACCTCGTCTACTCCTATAACTTCATTGATCAAAATGCAGGTGATTCCCATGTCCATAGTTTTCCATCCCGATCTTTCTCCTGAGCTCCAGACCCATGGATGCAGCTACTTCCTGGACAGTCTCAACTTGGATGTCCTACGGCACCTCAAACTCAACATGTCCAAAACTGGACTCCTCATTTTTATTCCCAGATCTGCTCCTCCAATGTTTCCCATCCCAGTGAACAGCACCCCTGGCCACTTAGTTGCCCCAGTCAGGAAAATGGGCATTATCCTCCACTCCATCCTCTCCCTCAACCCTGTATAAATTTATACATTAACCCTTTATAAGTCTAGTCATCCAGTCTTAACATTTTTAACACCGTTGTAGCTCCTGAATTCCTCTCCATCCTCCTGGCCATCACCTGTTTTTGGCACTTGTCATCTCTCCCTCAGACTAATGTGTCTCCTTGCCTCTTGTGCCACCTTCTCTAGTCTGTCCTTTTTGGTGCCAGTAGCATGCTTACCTAAGAGGTCCATGTCATTCATCTGTTTAAAAATTTAATCTCTTGCTACTCCCCACCACACAGTAAAATTTAATCTCCATGAATTTCTCTTAAGTCCTGTAATAGGCCTTTTGCCCTGCCTAAAATCCCTTTCCCATCCCTGTCTATCAAGCAAAATTCTTTCCTTTCCATTTAGAGTCAGCTCAAGTATCGATGTGAACTCATGATTTCTAAAATGCATTGTATATATGTGTGTCTCTGCATGTGTATGTGTACATTTATATGTATGTACTATGAATGTTTGTATGTATTAGGATTGCCAGATAAAATACAAGATGCTCAGTTAAATTTGAATTTCAGCTGGGGTGCCTGGCTGGCTCAGCCAGTAGAGCCTGCAACTCTTGATCTTGGGGCCTTGGGTCCAAACCCCACATTGGGTGTAGAGCTTACTTAAAAAAATTGAATTTCAGTGATGCAACAAATACTGTTTTGGTATAGATCATGTCCCAAATATTGCATGGGATATATTTATACTAAGTTTTTCAATGTTGACCTGAAATTCAAATATAACTGGGTATCCAGAATTTTTATTTGCTAACTCTGACAGCTTTTGTGTGAGTGTGTATGAATATATATATTTATAGTTATTAGTGTGTGTGTGTGTATATATATATATATA